TGGAAACGTCGTCTGAAAAAAGTTGTGAGGGTTTTTGTCCTGTTGGCATCTTGTATTTTCCTTTCTTCATCTTAAAGGATAGGTAGAAATATAATTTTTTTTTAAATTTCTTTCTTTTTATTTTATGTGCTAAGATGTCTGTTACCTATCAACATAACTCTAATCTTCATTTGAGTTCAGCATTTTTTCTTAGTAATCAGAAGATAGTAAGAGTTAGACTTTGTTCTGAAATTTTTCAGATACAGTAAGAAGAAAAGTGAAAAATCCAAAGAAACATTAAATGAGCTTAAGAAAATATTTTTCTTGTACTTGTTAACCTTCCTCACTGTGTGTTTCTATATAAACTTGGACCTTGTCCAACATTTTTTGTCAGACATTTAGTTATTTTTAAATGGTTTAATTATTGCCCCTAGTGTATAAATAGACCCTTTTAGTAAAGTGGCTATATTTCCAGGTTGCTGTCAATATTTTTGGTTTGGATGCTGCATGAAAACACAAACAGTATCTTTAAAGCAGCAGAGTGGATTCAAAAAGAAGAAAAGCCCATCATACACAATACAAGAAAAGCAATATATGTAGCATAAATAGAGAAATCAGGAAGTAGCAGCTGGAATAGAACTGAAGGGCCCAGTGAAAAGCAATGACTGACAAGGTAATTAATGGGGATGTGGCTCATATATTGGATGTAATGAACAGGGAACGTCTTGGAGTGGCTCACGTTGAAGATGACCAGGGAGAAGCTATGTGAGGAGCACACATGAGCTAAACTAAACTAAAAGGAAATACATTATTAAGGAAGAAATACAGTTATTAACCCAAAGGAAATGCACTTGCACTACAGGGGACAGAAAGCAGAAACAATGTAAGAATATTACTGTACATTTAAAAGCAACAGAAGTAGGCAACAAACTTAAAAAAAATTAATAAATAGGGACAAAAGAAAACCAAACCCCAGAATATATTATATTTATTTCCTTTATAAAGATCATAGATCTGCCGTCCTGAAATAATTTGTAGTCTTGTCTTTCCAAATGTGACTTTTTATTTAATTTCATTTACAGTGCATATTAATGACGTCTACAATGTAAATATGCCAGATTGTAGCACTTGTGATCGTTTACAGCTGCAGCCCGTAGGCAATTGACCAATGCACAACTTAGACCTAAACTCAAACTTTAGCAAAATAGCTTGTGAGAAAGATGTCCTCACTTTCTAAAACTATCCTCACTCCAAAGTTTCAAAACTGAAACTGATCCTCACTCTTATTCTAAAGCAGGAGCACACACATTAACGTGCACACATGTAGACATTTTTATTATGATTGATATGATTTATTAAAAATATGACTAAAAGGGGCCCTGTGTTCCCAAATATTTATACAACTCATGCTTCAGTTACATTTACTTTACAGGATTTTTCGCTACTAATGATGGCATTGTAATTTTGTTAATTTATTTTAAGCATCTTTAGCACATGTAATCAATAAATATTGAGCGTTCTGTAAAGATAGTTTGGTGGCTAAAAAGTAAAACTTCAGTCTAACTCAGGGAAACACAGACATAAAAGACAAACAACTATACATGCAAACGCTCACAATAAGTAATTCAAGAAGCAGGATAACCTAAAATGCGTGGTTAGGTAAGGTTACTCTGAATTAGGATCAAACGTAGTCATTTTCTCTGAGAGAAGGTAATCATGGCCTTTAAAGAAAACAAACCTAATGGCAGTAGATCACTGGGGATTGGGTGATGTCGGCTGCAGAGGCGATGTTGGCAGTTCCCCTGAGATGCGTGACATTATAAACAGCACTGCGGAGATGATCTGTGACACTAACCACATGCTGCCAGATTGATCGCTCACTCTAGAACCTCTAGCTCATTTCTTTAATAGTTGATTGTCTTCTTAAAATCTACACAAGTGCATGAAACCACAACAGCTGCCCTAGCAGCTCATTTTGCTCCGTTCTACCTTCAATTTATAAAGACGGCTGTATGAGTGGTAGTAAAAATATTCTGGAAGCTTTATGACAAAACAAAATAATCAAAGGGAGCCAGCGCCGTGAGTAAAAAGCATAATCAAGGTCTAACAGAAGCTGGATTCAAGATGTTCTCTAGAAATTTTGCTGATAAAAGTTGGTCCTCACAGCTGCTCCTTTGTTTATGACAATAATGAAGGCTGATATTATCTACGATTCCTTTAAACATTCTTTTAAATTGGATATATATAATATATATAAAAAAACAAGGAAAGATGTTCTGAGCTTTTGAAATCAAATGCTGGAACATAAACTTTAACTAATTTCATGTAGTATCAGTATTGACAGATATTAAGGTTTTTTCCCCTGTGAGAAATTTACAAATGAAAGAAACCAGGGAATATGTCAAACTTACCGACATGATGAAGTGAAAGTTTATCATCAGTCTTTTGTGAGGTTTTCAAAAATAAATTATTTGGTCTTTAAGTGTTTCCAGAAAAATTTTATATACATATAAAAATTGAACACCACAAATTGCATCAGTATCATAAAAGTAGGTACTCTTTCCTAGACTGTAAACTCAGTTAAAGAAAGGGAAATGTTTTTATAGTTTCTTAAAATAAACTGCATATAAAAAAATAGGCAAGATACAGTTGGACACTTGTGTAATTCTGTAACCTTGAGTACATAAATAATTGTTTCATTTTATTTACACCGTAATGTATAACAAAAACAAGGCGAGGGTTTATTTAAATGCTTTTATTTAAAACAAGCAAACATTTCTTCCTTCTCTGTACCAGAATTAATACAGTGATTAGTAAAGGTACTGATGGAAAATAAAAAGTAAGGAGGTAAAAGGAGTTTGTCCTCTCCACTGTCGCTGCATGCATGCTTGGAGTGAGGGATTGCTTTTGTGTTAATGACTCAATCAGCTGGTTTTCCTTGGATAGAAAATGTTAACCAATCTAACTGTATGATCTAGTTGACTTATATGTGTAAAGTTGTTTGACATTACACGTATTTTTAATGGATGCCATATATATAAACTGAATTGAATTAATAGTGCAATTTAAATCATATTTAGTGGTATGTTAACTTTGCATCATAGACATAAAGTTTTGAATAAACACCCTAGTTGGTATTACTTTTAAGTAAGCTAGTACTTGAAATCTAACAAGCTAATATAGGCTCATTAGCCAGGCTTTCTGCTCTGTTAATCCAGCAACAGGATTTTTTATTTTTTTTATTTTTTTTTGCAAGGGTTCATAAGACGAGGGATCTCTCATGCATGACTGACTAGAAACAACCAACTTTTTCATTTGGAGATCTAGTCTGTTTTTTTTCTTGTTTTTTTTTTTTTTGCCAGCTAACTGTTTACAGCAACAGATGAGGGAGGGGAGCCCAAAAACTCTAGTTACTTCAGCACTTTCTATGGAATATCATTAAAAAAGGACTTTGAACTGCTGGAGCAGTGTGGTGTGGTCTTTAAACATTTTGAAGCCATAGGAGTTAAAAATCTTGACCTAATTTTAGACTGTAACAGCATCATGCCTGGATGCTTTTCAGCCAACATTATCTTTATTCATCCTATTATTACAACCTCCCTCTACAGCCTTCCATATAGAGTTTTTTTAGTTGATCAAGTATACAGTATAATTATAATTTATAATAAAGTATAAAATAATCCAATACAAGAGTTTTACCTTATTCTGGCTTTTTTAAAGATTTTGGCCTAAAAAAAATCATATGTTTAAAGGGTTTTGGTCCTATAATCATGGTAAAAGTATTTTACGTAAGTACAGAGAAAGATGCTGGAAATTATGACTGTCATATATGTTAGCTTCACTGACAAACCTTCAAAGAACAGAAAAGTTTAGAATCAGTTATTTATTTTTCTGCCCAGGGTTTCTCTTCCTGAGACACAGTCAGTTCAGATTGAATGAGTAGTTTTCTGCCGGAAACATAAATCAGGCCTGTCTTCATGTGGTAATTTTGCTCATGAATAATATCCTGAAAATAAATTTCAGTAGAAATCAAACCAGAGCCAAGCAATTTAAAGCACAGTGTCCTTGTGGTGAATATATAAATAACAAAGTCTTGGGTAAATGTTATTTTTTGCTTTTAATGTGTGGCTTGGCTCGTGTTCTTTACACAGCTCATTTGAAACTGTTTCTTTTTTTTTTTTTTTTGGTGTTTTATTTTTATGGTTTGAGTGAGGGAAGTAAAGACGGATGACATCTGAAGCAAAATCAGGAACCTGATGTTTTATCCCTCTCAAATAGGCAGGTGTATCCATCGAGTGTCCAGACGGACATGCCATATTTTTGGTCAATAATCTCCAGTTTGATCTGTTGGACATAGAGTTGGAAACACCATGTGATCCTATGTATCATTAAATCCAACTAACTCACCAGTCCGCTGAACAATGTTTCCAAAACTCAAAATTGCGATAATTTTTAACCAATATTGCGATTTTCTTTTGCATCAACCCCCAGCTTGTTGATGTTTCCCTCCAGGCTTTCAGCTTTTTAAATCTTACTTGCTCACAGTCCAATGTTGCAGAATTTTACTGTAATCTTTGTGTGAAAAACTGCTTTCTTATACTTGCATGCACGGATCTGTGTGCTAGCTGCAACTCTTTACCTTTCTGTGTGGCAACAAACCCACTTTAAGAATTTGACTGTCACCTAGAGGGCCAAGGTGAGAAATATAATTGAATGTAGTGTTATTAAAATTGAGATTTTAAAATTCTGCAGAGGTTTTAAACTGTTCAATTTCAGTGATATCTTAGTAATATAGTATAAATGATTGAACAAGGGGATTTTTTGACTAAGAATCAAGATGTTTTTACTTTAACCATAATGCAATTTTGATAATACACTGGCTAGCAATGCACATTTAATTTAAAAGTAAGCATCCTCAGAGGGGACCTCCAGTGATGATACAGCAGGGCACAACCTGTAAGGCTGACGCCTGTAAGAAGCTCAAGTATTGATTTCTGTTTTTCTGTCTCGTTTTCTATCAGTTCGCTACCTACTGAGGAACAATGTGAGTCCGGATCTCTGCAATGAAGATGGTCTAACTGCTCTGCATCAGGTAAGGTTATCTGTGCCCATTTGTTCCACCAACTCTTTCTCCGTTTGATTCACATGTTTGAGCAACCAATCTTAGTCTCAATGAGTAAAACCAGTATTCCAGAAAAGATGAAGCCGTAATTGCAGTCAGTTTTTTCTAAAAAAAAAAATAACCTGGAAAGGATAAATTCAAATAAGCCACACTTAGTTTTTTTGTGTGTGAGTTATTCCTCTTTTTTATTCTACTTCAAAATTGAGCTTTTTATTGTTATCTATTTAAGTCCCAACAAAATACACTGAAGTGCAAAATTGTGTAGAACTTGGAGGGACATAAAGGCTCATTATGATGGACATACGCTCCACACAGAAATGAGACGTAAGCTTACAACAAAATTGAACATACACAACTTAAACAATTTCTTGATCCAAGTAATTTTCATTGGCCAAAATATGATATATCTCTAAATGTTTACATTTTCCAACCCTTGCCAGTCATTTCTGTTGCTCCTCCACCATGTTTTCTGCAAAGAGCTGTTAACATAGTTTGTAAAATCAGGCTGCATGGACGACAAACCTAAAAAAATTTGCCTACAAAGCCTGATTTTTGCCTTTTATTTATGTTAGGCTTAAAATACTGTTTTACTAAAGGCAAAAGTAGAAAAAAATAATAATAAAAAACACCCTAAGACTATGAGAATGTTTTAACACTGATTAAAGTATTACTAATAATAGCAAAAATAACAACAGAAACGATGTGTAAATCAGGCAATGAAGCCAAGAGAATTGCATTAAACCTGAACCTTATAAAAATAAATTTTACTCAGCTGTAAAAGAAAAAAAGATAGTAGGAATAGGGAAGCCTTGACTTTTTAATACTGAGGTTGTAAACCATCTACCTTTTTCCTGAATAGAGCTCTGTGAGTGTGTGTATCAGTGATGGATGATTCTTTAAACCGCCTCATCACCTGACCTGACCCTTAAAGTCTTTCTGCTGTTGAACACGACAAAAGAGAGAACATTTGGATATTTTAGATTTTTGAATACATCACTGTTAGCAACAAGGACACCAAAGGAAAATACTGGAAAAAAAGTAGGTTTTCTTACATTGATGAGTAGTTTTTAATTCTGTGGAGGAAATTAGTTCATTATTGTGGAAGATTATTTCTTATATAGACCTGATAAGAGCCTCCCAGTCTATTTTCTGATCCTTAATAAAATAATTATCTTATGTGATCTTATGTGAATTAAGTCAGGAAACAAATATTTGTTTTGCATCCTCCTGAAAACTGAAATATGGTGCCTGTCTGGGAAAAGCTATTACACAGCATCCGAGCCGATTCCTCAAAGTGAGGCAGCTGGAAAACACATTTTATTTCCTGTGAAGCTACTGGATATGCATGAAGATGCTTCTATTACTGAGGGAACCATTCTGTTTGTTCCACTTAAACTAAAATGTCAAATACCGGTGAGTCTTGAAGGATAGATCTAAATGCTAAATGACTCGCACTTTAGTTTTAATAGAGGGTCTGGATTCACAGGAATGGTTCTTCATCTTAAAGATCTCTGAAAGAAAAATATTCATTGCTCCCCATCCCTTCTTCTTTTTCTCTCTCTTCTCATTTGGTTTGGTCTCCTTCTCTCTGCCTCAGCTAACACAGCCATATCTCTTTTCCCCCCCTGGCTGTGCAAAGCCTAATATTCACACTCCAGCTGGGAGGCAGTGAAATGAACAACGGAAGAGAAAATTGAAGTCCATCAGTCACAAATGGTAAGGCTGCTGCTTTAAACACAGCCAAGAGATCGGAATGACCTTTCTGCTTCCAATGTTCCCGATTATATGCTGTTTGGATGGGCCAGACTCCATTCTGGGTTCAAGATTCGACCCTTTTAAAATGAAATAACTGCCCAGTATATATGGATCAGTTGGCTGTGAATTCAGATCATATCTGGATTCATTTTCTTAAGTTTTTATTACATATACCTTAAGAAGAAGAAGAAAAAAATAAAACAATCAGTGCGTTTGAGTCCCCAGAATATGAGGAATAATCTAGTAACAGAAACTCAGAAGGTGGCATAAATAAAGAAAGGTGCTGGTCTCTAAATTGGAAATCATATCTGTCCAGGCCAGCTCTTACCTCTCTGATGTAAGACATTAATCAAAAAGATGACTTCCAGAGTAACAGCATGTGCCACAATACACAACACATACAATAACAAACGTAGAAAAATTCTCCTCATGTCTTATTCCCTGTGATCCAAACCACACAAATCCATCTATAGTTGGAATAAAGTGATGGATTACCCATGCATGGTTTGTGTACTTATTATTTTGAGGCCCATCAGCAGAGCAGGATTAATGCTGGAAAAACCACAACACACATTCAAGAAAGAAAAACATTCCTGCTTATTATTTCCTTTTAACTTAGTTTGCTTTTTCGTCTTTAAATTAAAGGGGTTGCTGTATGTTTTAACTAAAATGATATTAATCTAAAAGTGTTTTTTTTTTTTTTTTTAAACCATCAAACTAATTTTGACATCATACAAATCTACCATAAGGAAAAACATCATGAAGCTTTTGATTATTTTTATCAACAGCAACAATAAAGAAAACTGCATCCAAGGGGTAAAAGCTTGATATAATAATTGGTTGTGCCACATATGGCAGCAACATTTGCTCTTTTCAGTGTTTCATATAAGGCTTGTTTTATGCCTTTAAATTGCTGTAGAAGAAATCTGGCCCAAATTGTACTATAATTGGAATTTAAACACTTTATACTAATGCCAAAGCATCCAAAGTCAGAGCAGTTTTATCTTGGAGAACAGAACTAGTGGTTCCATCATTTTTGACAAGTTGGCCAAATGCTAAAGCAGCAGTGCAGTCGCAGTCTATCAACAATAACTACGGTATTGTGATGGTATTGCAACTTTGTTGGTTTGTCAGAATGCAATGAAGAGGTTTTATTTTTTTCAAATATGATTATTCTTGAATAAACGTATCAAAACTGTGGCAAATTATTTCTGCACAGCTTTAGATATTGTTCTTGATTATTTTGTTGCCTCCTGGATGAGTCTTTGATGCTTGATGATTTCTTTCTACATGATAAAAATTTTGACATGTCCAAAATAAGTAAACATTTCCTTTTGGTTATGATGCCAATGTCAGGATGTATTCTTCACCAGTAGGAATAGTAGGTTAAGTGATGAGAAATGGAGCTCCAGCATTGTCGGATCCTCGTATCCGTGATAGTCCAGAGAAATTGCTTCTTCTTTGTGTTGCATTTCACAGGTTTAAGCAAAAAAGCAAGACAAGGGTCAAAATAGTCTAATATTTTAGCAGTGGTGCTGACTTTAAGAAGCAAAGAGACCAAGAAGCCACTTGGTGGTTGCTGCTTTTCTTCTGAACTGGAAAATTAAACATTAGCTAATGCTAACCCATGTCAGCAACCAAAGTTTAGCATTAGCACCGGCCGGCAAAAAGTATGAAATGAAAGTGGGTGTCCTACATAATGGCAGTGAGGAGTTAAACTTGCAGCTTTCCCCTTTAAGTATGACAAAAGAGCATAAATGGAGGGTATATGTAACGGAACAAGTACCTTTTCACAGAACAGCAAGTTCCTGTTATTCTTCTGCAATAATTTTTACCCTTTTAACCCAAGTATCTCATTATTCCATGATTGAGGAAAGTTCCCTCAGCATGATTCTGCCTCTACCACTTCTGAATTGGCAAAACCATTAAGAGTCAGACTCTTTCAAAGATATATTAATCTTAAATCCCATAAAACTTTAAATTTAGTTCAAATTATAAATGGAAATAGGTGAAAGCAAAAAGCTGCTGCAGGATATTTATCATATGTTGTAAAAAAAAACCTTGTTTTTTTTTTTATTATGAGTTGTTAGAATGTGGATTACAGGTATAAAAAATATAGAAAGGATGCCTGACTCTTCAATTGCACTGCCTGTCATAAATTCAACAGGTTAAATTCCAAATAATTTATTTTCATCTTTATTTTCACCTTTAATGTTCATCTCTGGTTTATTTATGTAATATCAACTCTAATCTCTAGGCCTCCTTATTATTCTGAAGAAGTTAAAAAGGTTTACTCAAGCTCCAGTTAAAAAGATCAGCTCTAGACTAAATCTATTTCTGTTAGCCTACGTAATTCAGTTGTATTTAGTCAAATTCACTGCAAAAAATTCTAAATAAGCCATATATTTCTTAAAATAAGTGCATTTTTTCTTGAATTGAGGAGGTTAGTGGGACACTTTGCCAACGAGACAAGACAATTTACTTTTAAGATAAGAAAAAAAATGCATTGTCTCATTTCAAGCGCATATTATCTAATTATCTTATTTTAAGAGTAAAAATACTCCTTCAATTGGCAAATCATTTCATTCACCTACTCAAATTAGGAGTAAATGCTCTGAATTTAAGATTTGTTTTAACTTATTTTTTCTACATTGTTTTTGCAGTGTAAGAAAAGTGACTTTAAATAAATGTTCCACTTTTTCAGAGCAGTTTCAGTGTAAATCAGTGACACAAACCGGATAAACAAATGTTAATTCAATACAATAGTGGTTATTTTAGTCAGTTTAAGCTCTTAGATTCACCGGCCTCATGGTGTCCTATATTTCAGTGACAGAAACCCAGCTGTTATCTGGCTGTAATCTCTTGTGTTTTGCTGCATCTGCATGACCCCAATGTGGTCGGGTGGGCACAATGACCCAGAACATACACAAACTGCTGGAGCTGCATTTAAAAAAAACATTCATTTTAGCAATTTTTCAACTCAAAGACTTATTTAAACATGACAGACTTCTCAGGCTGTAATGGACCATGTGCCGTTTTATCAGACTTTGAAAGTTTTCAGTCTGCATTCCCCTGTGGTTTCAGCCTTTTCATCAGTTATTCTGCTTTGCATTAGTTTGGCTTTTGAGGACTCAGACCCTCCAGCTTTTGCAATATCTTCTAAAGTCCGGGTAAAGTCTCCCTAAGATTTTGTAAAAAACATCTCTCTCATTGCT